TTTTATAGTTATCGGAACGATTGATATTTTAATTTAAATAGTTACTCGACACCAGCTGCAAATTTAATCACTCCATGGTAGAGGTGGGCGCGGGCCGGCCTTTTTTCGTGGCCCGCGGGCTTACACAGGCCCGGACCGGGCCGGGCCGGGCCCGGGCCTTTAAATTAAGATTCGTGCGGGCTTCGTGCGGGCCCGGGCCTTAACAAAAGGCCCGGCCCGTAAAAGCCCGTAAAAGCCCGAAATAGGCCCGAAAACAAGTTTGATTTGTTCGCGATATTTTTGTTATGCTCAAGTTAGAAACGCCATTTATCGCATTTTAATTGTTTATCGATACTACTATCGATGTGCTTACACATATTTTACTTGCTTGGACACCACTAATTCAAAGTTGGCGTCTTATTGTGAAATTGATTACTTTAAAATATAAAATATGTCGCGAAAAACCATTCAGGACGCTGTAAATAAAAAAAGTGAATGTGTAAAGCTAACACAAAACGGAAAGGGCAGGAGTGACGTATGGAAGCTGTTCGATTGCGTTAATTATAATGGCAATAATGTCGATTTTGTGTGCTGCCGAAGCTGTAAGCAAGTGCTGGCGTATAATTCAAAACAAGGCACGGGCACCCTCAGCCGCCACAAGTGCACGTCTCAACAAGACGCGCTTAAGTCACAGCCCACATTGGACAGGTTCGGCAAGAAAGTAGTTTCGACGCGATTTCGGGATTCGTTAGCTCGAAAGCAGCTAGCCTTAGTTGCAAAAGACTTGCACCCTTTCAATATTACCGAAGGTAAGTTCTATTCCCATTGCACGTGTTTATTGATTGACTCTTTTTTTTTTTGTGAATTGGTAGGTAGCGGCTTCCGTGAATATAGCCAAGCGCTTCTCGACATAGGAGCAGAATTTGGAAGTCAGTCTATTAATGATTTGGTTATATCCCGTAAAGTGTTAAGCACTACCATTATGGAGAAAGAGTACGAATCTTTGAAAATTCAACTTATCTCAAGTTTGAAAGACCAAGAACTGGCATACACGACCGACATGTGGAGTGACGACTACACGCAGCGAAATTTTATATCGCTGACTGCTCACTATGTGGATGATGACTTCCGACTGAACGTCGCTCTTTTAGGTACTAATATAAATCAATTTGTATATATTTATTTATTTATTTAATGCTAACTAATAGTTATAAGCTAAAAGTTAACAAAGGATAATGAGCAATGGCTACCGAGGCCTTCCGCTCTACAGTGTATTAACAAAGATATGTGTGTGGAATATGTTATAATTAAATTTTATGTATGAGATTCATTTTGTGTAGAAAGTATATAATTTTATTTGAGTTTGCTGCTGTTGGATTCGCAAGGAGATGGATTGGGTTATCATTGGAAAAGCAAATTGTTCTAACATGTGAAAGTGCAGTGCAGTCTATTAAAATGTGTTGGATGTCTATCGCTGAGGTGTTGCAAAAGGGACAGATACTTGTTAGGGATCTATTCATATAATGGGCGTTTGTGAGTTGTGTGTGTCCTAGTCGTAGTCTATTTATTATAATTTGTTGTTGTCGGTTGAGGTTTGTGGTTTTGAAAGAGAAGTTTGCTGGGGTGTTTAGTAAGATCTGTTTGTACCATTGGGTAGTTTGTGATTGAAGACTGTTCAGTTTATCGGTATAGTGTTTTTTAAGGAGTTGTGTGATGTCTTTGGTGTTGAAGTTGTCTGTAAATATTAGAGGGTATTTGTGTGTTTCTTTAGCTGCTGTGTCTGCTCTCTCATTGCCTTGTATACCTATGTGGCTAGGGATCCAAATTAGTCTGATTTTGGGAAAGAGTTTGGTAATAAGTGATCTTATTGTATTAGGGTAGTAAGAGTAATTGTTTATGTTTGAAATGGATTTGATTGAGGAAAGGGAGTCCGAGCATATAGCATATTTGCCGGGTGAACCAGAGCAAATTTTTATAGCTTCATGGATTGCAATTAACTCACTAGAGATTACAGAGGAGTACTGGGGAAGGAGGCCATATTTGATTATGTCAGTATTGTTGGTTACACTGTAGCTTACAGTGTCATTTGTTTTTGAGCCGTCTGTGTAAATGAATTTGTGATCGTGTAGGGAGTTTTTAATAGAGTGGAAGAGCTGGTGGTATGTTATAGGTGAAGTTGTGTTTTTGTTGTATAGGGAAAGGGAGGTGTTTGTGGCTTTAAGAATTATTCCCGGATTGTATTTTTTTGACGTGTAGAATTTGGCGGGAGAGAATGGAAGGGAAAATGATTTGCAGGAGTCGATGATTCTGTCTAATGTGCTAGGGTATCTGTAGTTTCTTTTTGTTTTGACTATGGATTTGGATAGTTTGCCTATTGGGGAGTTATGAGAGAGAATAAGTTTAGTTCCGAGCTTGCTTGTTAAAAGTTTACATCTGTTTTCTAGTGTATTAATTTTAGCTTCAATTAGCAGGTTATAAATAGGAGTTGTTCTAAAGGCCCCGAGGGCTGCTCTTATAGCAGAGTTTTGGGTCGATTTAAGGCAGTTTAAGATGGTGGTGGGAGCTTTCCCGTATATAGGTAGGCAGTAATCAATTTTTGAGATGAGGATAGAGTTTACAATTTGTATGAGGGAGGTTGTGTTGCAGTTGTATTTTCTTGAGGAGAGGTGTTTTATGATATTTAGGGGACGGGAGAGGGATGTTTTCAGGTTAGTAATGTGATGGTTCCAACTGTATCGTTTGTTTATCGTGAGTCCTAGGATTTTTGTATGATCAGTGGTTGGGATGTTGATGGAACCAGTGATGATGTTTGCACTGCAACTTCTTTTCCGGCATATGTGGAGTAGTTGACATTTATCAATTGAAAGTGAAGAACCTGAGTAAGAACACCATTCTCCGATTTGATGGAAAAGAGTTGAAAGGTTGACTTGGGGATTGTTGTTACGGTTATGTTGCAGTATTAGATGAAAGTCGTCAGCATAGGCTGTAAAAGAAAGATTATTTGGGATGGAGATAATGTTAGTTAGGGAGTTGTAGGCGATAAGGAAGAGGATAACGGATATAGGGGATCCTTGAGGGATACCATTATCTAGTGGGAAGTTTATGGAGAGAGATGTGCCGTTTTTAACTATTATTTTTCTGTTCGTCATGAAATTCCATACGTATTTTATAATTCGGGGACCAAGTTTCCATTTTTCTAGTTGGTGAATGAGAGAATGAATGCCTATTTTATCAAAAGCTTTTGCAAAGTCGAGAGAGATAATAGAGATGTGTTTTTTTAGAGACAATGATCTTGTTGCAAGGTGGTCCACATAAAGTAGACTGTCTAGAACTGATCTGCCACGCTTAAAACCAAATTGATTATTATGAATTAGTTTATTTGAAAGGACAAACCACCACAATCTATTTGCGACGACTTTGTCTAGGACTTTGGCTAAGCATGGGTTAAGGGAAATGGGACGGTAGGAGTTGGGGTTGGTTTTGGGTTTATTGGGTTTAAGGATTGGTAACACAAGGCTGAGTTTATAGGATTGGGGGATGTGGGAATCAAGAATGTCGTTGAAGTGTTGTAAAATTCTAAATTTAAATGAGATGGGAGTGTTTTTAATCATGGAGTAAGAAATACGGTCTAGTCCTGGTGTGTGTCCCTTAAGTGAGTTAATGGCAGAGTTTAGTTCTATTAGATTTATGTTTTTTTCTATTTCTATGGCTGTTGGGGTTGGGGCATATGTATTGTGGGGAGTAATAAGCATTTTGTTAGTGCGGAATTCTGGGGAGAAGTTGGAGTCTTTTGCCTGTTTTGACCATAGGTCTCCGAGTGTGTTAGCTATCTCAGCTGGGTCTATTGTTGTTGTTAGTGTTATGGGGTTGTGGATGCTGTGTATATGTTTAGTTGGATAGATACCGCAAAGTCGTTTAATGTTTGCCCACATTTTTGCAGGATCAGAGTTAGGCTGGATTTCGGAAGTGAAGTTTATAATAGAGGCTTTTTTAGCATCTCTAATTGACCTCCTGAATATGGCGTTAGCTCTTTTATATTCAATCATGTTTTCTGTATTGATATTGTTTCGAAGGTTTCTCCATTTGAGGTTTTTTAATTTTTTTAAGAGGGTTAGGTTTTGGTTCCACCAGGGAACTGTACGCGGGAGAGAGAATGTCGTGTTTTGTGGTATTGATAGGTGTGCACTTTGGATCAGTGTTTTTTTAATATAAGCTGCTTCTTTGTTTGTGTTGTTACTGGAACGTCTGAGTGGGGATAGTTTTGTAATGTGCTCTCTAAAGAGGTCCCAATTTGCATTTTTTAGTTTGAATGACGGTTTGGATATGAATGTTGGGGGGGGAAGGGTTTGGGAATAGTGAGATTAGGATAGGGAAGTGGTCGCTTCCGTGTAGATCGTCTAGGATTTTCCAAGAGATCTCTGGGGATATGTTGGCTGTGGCAAGAGAGAGGTCAATATGAGTTAGTGTGTTGTGTGTTGAGTAGTGTGTAGGGGATTTGTCATTTAGTACGGTATAGACTGTTCTGTCAATGAATTTAGCTATTGTGTTGCCTCTGGTATTGGCTCTAGGGGAGCCCCAATATGGATGCCAGCTGTTGAAGTCGCCAAGGACGATAGCATATGGGGTAGATGGGGCTAAAACATTTTCAAGATTTTTTAGATTAAATTGTTTTGAAGGAGAGATGTATGCTGATATGAGATCTATATTTGTTTTTGTTTGAATTGAGATTCCAACGGCTTCAAAGTCCGTGTTGAGAGTTTTTTGTGAGTGGGAGATAGAGTTATGTACTAGGAGGGCTGTTCCTCCGAAACTATTGGTGGTATTGCTGCAGTATAGGGAAAAGTTAATGGGGATTGTTAATGAAGTTAAATTGTTAAGGTGGGTTTCTTGAAGTGCTATGATTTGTGGGTGGTATTGATTAATGAGGATTTGTAATTCTGGGTAGTTGTTTCTATAACCTTTGATATTCCATTGGATAATTTTTAACATATTAAATTAAAGATAAATGAGTTGGATGTAAATTACGAAATGTCCATCTCCTCTGAATCGCTTGAAGTGTCAGGGTTTAAGAGTGTTTTGAGTTTTTTTGCGTCTTTTTTTATGGAAGTTATTCGTTTTGATATGTCTAGTGATAGTTTTTTGGTGGTTTTAGTTGGGGAGTTCCTGGTTGTTTGTGGAGAATTGTTGTCGGTTGAGGTTTTCCTGGTGCTAGGATAAAGGTCCGCATATGATGTGGGAGCTGGTCTGGAAGTGGATTGATCATGATTGGAGTTACCGGGTTCGGGTCCTTTGAGTAGATGAGGTCCTGTTGTATTGTTCGATTTTTGAAGATTTGAAAGCTCTTGGTGCGTTTTTCCGGGTCCTTTGAGTTGTTGAGGTCCTGTTGAATTGTTGAGTTTTTCAAGAATAGATTGTTCATGGATTGAGAGTCTGGGTTCTTTGGGTTGTTGAGGTTTTGTAGAAATGGATTGTTGGGAATTTGAATTCTTGGCGATGGATGAGTATAATTGTGAAGTTTCCTTGGAGAATCGAGCGTTGAGGATTGTATTTGCCGTTTTGTTGTCACATCTGTTCGTAGTTTTAATGGCTTGGAGTTCTTGTTGTTTCAGAAATACGGGACATTTCTTGCTGGTGGAGTTGTGAGGGTTTGCTAGTTGTTCAATGTTGCAGTTAATGCATTTTTGCGGTCTATTGCATTTGATGTTAGAGGTCGGGTCGATATGGTGTTCTTCTCCGCAGTTGTAACAAATTTTATTATTTTTACAGAATTTGTGGAGATGGCCGTATTTGAAACAATTGTTACATCTCATGGGCAGTGGGATATAAACTCTGACGGAAGTCCGCTGGTAGCCGATCATTATGTACTCAGGAAGATTGTGTGTGTTGAATGTAATAATTAAGAGTCCTGTTTCCTTTAGTGCGCCGTTGTCTCTTTTAAGAATTTTACGAACTTCTGTTACTTTTTGGTTTGCTAGTTCTTGCACAATAACGCTTTCTTCTAATCCTCTTAGATCATTAGAGTAAATAACTCCTTTAGATGAGTTTAAAGAGTTATGTACAGAGACAGTAACGTTAATGTTGGGAGCAAATGCTTTAAGTTTCATTAGTTTACAAGCTTGAACAGCAGTTTTAGTTTTAACTAACAGAGTGCCATTACGAAGAGTCTTGCATTCTTCTATTTCACCATCACACGTAAAGTCGATTTGTTTTTTAACAAGGAATGGATTGATGTTATTCAGGTCGAGTCCAGGGTCTGTTCTGGAGATGGTTAGATATTTTGGTCCGGGAGATGTTAGTATTTGGTCTGTTATGGCTCTTAGTGGGCCACGGTCAGGGGGTCCCCCATCACTACGTTGCAATGCTGATCTTCTTTTTTATTTTTATTTGAACTTGATATTAGTAATGAACGGTAAGGGTGAAAAGGGTTAAATTTTGTCCAGAATAAAATGTGGTTCTTTGGAAAACAAATTTATATACTTTTCAGAGAGCGAAAATAATTTTTATTATTATTTTTTTTTTCAGAGAAAAAATTTCAGTACACGACTAGTCCGTATGACAGAAAATTCGAGACGAATTTGTATATATATTTGTATGTACGATCACATGTAATGTATATTTTTATACATACATATTTACATATTTATTTAAAAATGTTTATGAAGCTTTTAACTTATTTGTGTATCTTTTACAGGAATCAGGGAGTTCTTGGATGAGAAGAAAACTGGAGAAAATATTCTCAAAAATGTTCAGGACATTTTGCAGGATTTCAACACACTTGAAACTATCGATCGAGCTGTTTTTGTTACGGACAATGGTGCAAATGTCGTTGCGGCATTTAAGAGCTTCAAGCGCCTATCTTGTGCTTGTCACAATCTAAACCTTGTCATGGATGACGTCGTTGAGAAAATCCTCTTGCGGAAGTTAAGGCTTTAATCGATTGCTGCAAATCATTAGTTAAATATTTTAAACATTCTCAGCTTAACAGTAAGCTCTCAAAAACGCTGAAACAGCAAGTTAAAACACGCTGGAACTCTACATTTTTTATGCTCTTGAGTATATTTGATGTAAAAGAGGAAATAAAAACTCTTTTACTTAAAAAAGATGAGCTACAGCGAATTAGTAATTTAGATTTTTCATTACTTGAAAACATTTTATGCTTCTTAAAACCTTCAATGCAAATATTTGCATTGTGGTCAGAAAAATTATGTAAACTTTGCAGAACTAGCACCCTTGATTCCCAAATAATAAGTGAGTTTAAAACAATGACACTAAGCGCATTAGAAAAAAGGTTTCTTCCGGCAATCGCTCATTTGGTGGGGCTTTTCTTGAACCCTCCTTATAAAGAGATGAATTTCCTCTCAGAGGAAAAAAGAGATACTGTTTTAGCTACGGTAAAAGCAATGCTCTCCAAATTTATAGGGAATCATGATTATAGTAGCTTTGTTGACTCAACTAATAACATAAGCCCAAATAATTCCGACAAAGGAATGTTAGCCGAATTTTTAGATTTAAGCTATGTAAAAAATCGAAAAGTTGAGAAAAACCCTATCGACATAGAGATTGACAAATATTTGGCCTATCCAGCAGTTCCTGGCACACATATTTTAGAGTTTTGGAAAAATGCAACGGACTTAAAATACCTTTCCAAATTAGCTCGAACCATTCTGGCTATTCCCGCCAGTTCGTCTACGAGCGAAAGACTATTTTCAACATCGGGCCATGTTTTAAATGAAAAACGAACTAGGCTAAAAAGCTCAAATTTGGAAAAAATTTTATTTTTAAATAAAAATATGATATGATTTGATTTATGATTTACCTTAATAAATATGTACTTATATATACCTATAAATTGCATGTCTTTTAAATTTTCTTATATGTGTAAATAAGTTTCGTGCGGGCCGGGCCGGGCCCGGGCCTTGGTGGAAAAGTTTCGTGTTCGTGCGGGCCGGGCCTCTTAAAAAAGAGTTCGTGTTCGTGCGGGCCCGGGCCTCAAAATACAGGCCCGCGCCCACCTCACGACCGTCCACTGTGCACTGGCCCAAAAAGAATCTGGGCACACCAAATGGCAAATTCCTCCCAGTCGTTGGTCACACTTAACCTCGCCAGGGCCCTATATAAGACGAGCCCCAGCCCTTGGGAGCTCATTTAGTTTCGGCCGGCGATCAGTCAAGTCCTCCAATGGAGCAAGGAGCCATCATCAGAGGAAGCGCCGAGACAAGTAAGATATCCTGGTAAAGTGGTAGTACCTCCTCGGACCCCGAACATATCTTACGTCTCCAACCCATTTCTCATTATTGGAAGACCTTCGGGTCTCTACCCACTTCTTATTACTTGGAAGAACTCAGGGCCTCTGCTAACCCTCCCCGCTAACTGGAACAGAGACAGGGTCTCTGCTAACTGGTAGACCTTAGGGCCTCCACAAGCTGTTCTCACTCTAGGAGATCTGAGGCGCATACGCGCATCGGCGTTTTACCGACACTGTCGACTCGAGCGAGAAGGATATACGTGACCTTTGAAGTGCGGCGTTCCAGAGCGGCTACCGGCAGCAGCAGACTACGCACAATCTTTCTAAACCGTTGCAATATTCGAGACAATAAACATATAATTATAGTTACGGCATATTTCTCGGCGTTCTACTCTGGGACCGGGTCGGCATCTCTTTCAGCAACATCCTCTAACTAAAACTACAAATTTCTGAGACGAACCCTGGCCATCCCTGAGCCACCGGAAACGACAAACCGTCACAATTTTTAATACAAACTCGAAAAAGCGGTTCCAAGCATGTAAAGGACTGATTCCACATTGAAGAGCGAGTGCCTTAGCCATAAAAGCCCTCCAGTTTATGTCATTAATGTTGCGCAATTGTTTTGGCTTCGCTTTACAGATTGGGCAAGACTGCCAAGAGTTGGGGCCTGTCAATATGTTTAAGACTTTACCATCTATTAGTGTCATGTAACCAATATTCTCGATATCTATTTTTTTCTTTAAACTTATACAAATATATTTGCTTGTTGCGAATCTGGGCATCCAAATTTTCATGTTCTTTTAATATTTGAGAGGTAGTTTCCTTAATGAATTCAATCTTCAATGGGCGGCAAAATCGAACAGATTGCTGAGCCCTATTGAGCCAAATAATTTGTTGCGTTTCATTTGTCAATTTCAATGAGACAATTGCAGTAACAATCAAATTGAAACAAAATGCTAGTTGCCCAGTACCTATATTACCCAGACCAATTAAGTTACAGTTATGTGTTTTTATGGTTTGATGTTTTGTATTTTGTTTAATTTATATTTGATTACTTTGCGCACACGACCAGCCACGTTGAAATCAAAAAGTTAGAGAGAGGTCTAGCCAGTGTGACCGTACACTCCTTATAACAAAATCCTTATATGATCATTTTTGTTTAACATAACATTAGATATGGATTTAGCTGTTATATCCAACAGTTTTAATTTAGAATTAAGAACGGCCGGGTATATATCACATCCGTGTTTTTTTGCATTTTGTTGTATATTTATATACTGACGTTTTGTAAATCCATTTTCCATTAAAAATGCAAGGGCACTGTCAGCTGACATTTCTTTTGGGATCATCTGCAAAAAGCTTCTTTTTTATATCATTAATGCTCTCAGAACTCGCAGTTGCTTTTAAAACAACAGCAAAGTCTTTTTCGTTCGAATTTTAAATGAAACTGAGTAAGGCAGATAAATTGTTATTCTCCTCTGAAAGTTCCGCGTCGAATTTTCTTTTCAGACGAGGACCAGCGCTTTCGTAATCACATTTTGGCGACCCACTTTATTTGCCAATGCATTATGACCAATGATTTCTATGAACATGCTTTTCCCAAGCCATTTTGCGTGCTTTTCCTTAAATCCTTATTTAAATAACTGACAAAGCCTTTCACTTTGTCATTAATCGACTTTATGGTTTCGTTATATAAATGTTTTTGTGCGATCACTCTCAATATGTGCTGTTGTACGGCGTATCCTGAGCGATTATTGTTGCTCCCAATGTCAACCAGCTCAGCACGACTGAACACATTGAAAACGTGTCGATTCGGACTAAAGGGGTAAGTTTCTCATTAATCTGCACACTTTGGTTAATAATTTTCACTTACAACTTTTTGCCATGCTCTCCAAATGATCCCATAGATGCTCTATGGGATTCAAATCTGGCGACTGAGGAGGCGAATGCAACTGGTTTTTCGTGGTGTAGAGCAACCATAGCTTTACATTGTGGGCTGTATTATCTTGCTGGAACCAAAAGTCCCCAGCTAACCCTAATTTTCTGGCGCTTTCGTGCAAATTATCCTTTAAAATTTGCAGATAAGACTTGTGATCCATGGTCGACTCGATAAACACGAGGTTTCCAACTCCACTTGGCGCTATACACCCCCATACCATCACACCGCCACCACCATGCTTTACTGTCGGAGCAACAGCACGTCCAGCGCGGTACCGCTCTTACGCCACATAAGTTTTCGCCCTTTTATACCCAAAATGCAGAATTTACTTTCGTCGCTGAATAGGACATTGTTCCAGAACACTGCAGACTCCCAGACAAATTTTTTTGCAAATTCCGTTCGCTTTCTCTTGTTTGTCGGCGATATTAAGGGCTTCTTCCGCGTCCTTTTTTTTTAAATCAGGTAGGAGTATATTTTTGCACTGATCGGAGACAACATACCATAATAATAAAAAAACATTACTTTCTACTATGATCGACACCGGCAGCGCCATTATTTTTATTCCAGCGCATAGCTATACCCTACAATGAGCTTAATGACGTATTGACACCGACAGAATATTGTGGTGTTAATGGAGCTCAAATCGAAAATTTTGGAAACATTTTTATTAGACTTAACATAGAAGAAGAAATTGCTTTATTTGTTGTACCCGACAATTCCGTCGTAACTAGTGTTCTCTTAGGGCGTAGGTTTTTTTAAAAGTTTGGAATAAAATTGATTTTTGAAGATAAAATTAGAAGAGAAGAAGAAATTATTCTATTGAATATTGATAGTGACCCATTGAATATTGATATGGGTGAATATCGATAGTGACCCTAAAGAGATAGTGATGACAGCTTATCATTCATATATGTATAGTATTGATGTATTAAAGGATGATGAAAATTTGGACATTGATCCGAAGTTAAATGATAACAACCGTGAACTCAATAAAATAACAAGGTTAAATTATTTGGATTTATCCAGTGATCCAACATGATTATGAAATGAGGCTGAGACTTAAGTCGGAAGAACCTGTACGTTCTGTTCCAATAAGAC